ATGAAAAATGAACACACACAAACCAGATTTAGGGAATACTTTTATGTCCCATAAATTTAGTCAGGTGTGGTGTGCTGGGTCGCACACACACACACACACACACACACACACACAGAGCCACCCAGAAACAACTTGATCATCATCCAAGCCTGGCTCCCTTGTTTAATATGTTGTGCTGGTCCATTTTCCCTTTGCAGATTTTGGATGGTGTGCAGAACCCCTTTTACATGTGGTTCAGCAGCTGAGCTACAGTTATGAAGACTTGTTAGAACCTAGAAGTGAGGAAGTTTCTACTTAGGCATGACCTTTGTCCACCCCCCAATATATATATATATAATGATGATGGGTTTTTAACCAAGTGAAATGCTCAAGGCTATACATGAAGTTAAAGGGACGCGGGTGGCGCTGTGGGTAAAACCTCAGTGCCTAGGACTTGCCGATCGCATGGTCGGCAGTTCGAATCCCCGCGGCGGGGTGAGCTCCCGTCTTTCGGTCCCAGCTCCTGCCCACCTAGCAGTTCGAAAGCACCCCTAAGTGCAAGTAGATAAATAGGGACCGCTTTATAGCGGGAAGGTAAACGGCGTTTCTGTGTGCTGTGCTGGTGCTGGCTCGCCAGAGCAGCTTCGTCACGCTGGCCACGTGACCCGGAAGTGTCTTCGGACAGCGCTGGCTCCCGGCCTCTTAAGCGAGATGAGCACGCAACCCCAGAGTCGGACACAACTGGCCCGTACGGGCAGGGGTACCTTTACCTTTACCTATACATGAAGTTAGCAGCCAAGTTCCACCAAATGCCAACCTTTGCCCAGATCCAACAGCCGTAGAATCCACATGCCTTTATTCAGGTTTTGGACTTCTGATTATAGACAGGGAAAAAAGCCCACAGTGATTGCTTCTAAACCCACTCCTCTGCCCTGACCCACTAAACCCCATTCTCTCCGATCTGCGGATTAAAAAAAAAAAAAAAGGGTTATCCTGCTCCCATTCTCCCTTCTTTGTGATGACTCAATAGACTCCTCTTTCTTCTCCCCCAGAGCGCTGGCGAGAACTCAAAGCCCTCTGGCTCCCGGCCTCCTCTCCATTCTAACCCACCAGCAGCAAACAGAACAGTAGCAGGGAGCTGGTCATGGGTGACCCAGCCACTGTGGGACAACCCCTCCTCCCAGGATCATGCGCCTAGTATTACGAGGCCTATGGGCCTTGGGTGCTGAGAGTTGCCTCCGACACAAAGCCCCCTCTGTTTGCTCCAGCCAGGGCCTGAGAGAATCCAGTGTGCCTCCGAGGAAGGCGGGGGCAGAGGGCACATTGTTTGGAGACTTGCAGGAGATCGCAACATTTGGACATTATTACCCATCTCCCAAGGGGGTGGGGAAAGCAATGCCAAAGAGGCCCTGATTCTGTCTGCGGTAGAGGAAAAAAACAGAGAAACTTGTGGCACCTTAAAGATCAACACATTTATTACGGACTCGAATCCGCAAGAAGCTCATGCCCTAATAACTATGTTAATCTTTCAGATGCCGATCAGAAGATTCTTTGTCGGTTTTGCCGCAAAAGATTAATATGGCTGCTGTCCCCTGTGGAAATTAAAGGAATGAGGCCGCGGTGGTTTAGGGGAGACTCTGTAGGAGTCTGGAGCGCCTAAAGGAAATGAGAGACTAGTGGATCAGCGTGACTGGAAGCTGATAAGGAAAGCAGCAAAGATTAGTGATTGGAGGTGGTGTTGTGGTACACAACGTGGTTCAGCCTCTACCTTTTATTGGGAGAAAGCTGTGCAACTCAGAAGCATCCTACTCTCACCAGAGCAATTCCATACTGAAAAGCATCCTTTACTTTTTTGGGTTCTTTGCTCTAAGGCTTCCTCTTTTGTCCAGTCAGATTCCCTTTCCCTTCAACATGAGACCAACTTGGGAGCCACTCTTGAAAGGTTTCCTGGGGCATGGCTTTGAAAAAGGAGAGCAGAGAAAACGGGGGACTGGTATAGAGGTGAATCAAATTTTGGATCCCAAATAGGTTATATACTATGGGAGCTCTGGCTTGGAAGAAATGAACTTTCCAAAGACCTGGGTATTATTTTTTTTTACTCATTTATTTATTGCTTTGATGTTGGGATACTTCAAAGGCAACTCTCCAACCCAAGCTTCTGTTGGCTTCTGCCTATATTCTGTACAATACCCAGAATTGGACTGGATCCTAATGCTCTGCTCCACAAATTTCCCCAAAGAGCAAAAAGTCCCATGGACAGTATGACTGGCTTAGTTTCCTTGGATATGAGCACTCCGGCGACTTCTGATGTCTTTGTATTCTTTGCTTTATTCACAAATATACAAGCATAGCCTGCTGGAAGCAAGACTCTCCAGAGGGTAACCATGTTAGTCTGTTGCAGCAAAAACAACTAAGAGTAGATTATTTGTTGTTTCTGGATGCAAACAGACTCCTACCGGCAGCAACCAAAATGCTGATAAGTGTCTCAGGTTCCCAGATAGTTTGTTTTAGCTCCCCAAGGCTACAACAGCTTAAACTCTTTGCTCTCAGCCAGTCAAAGGATGACACTGTCTCTAAACCAGTGTCCTTGAACCGTAGGCTGTTGGACTACATCTCCCATCTCTCTTGACCGTTGGCTAAGCTGGCTCTGGATGATGGGAGCTGTAATCTAACAACATTGGGCGGCCTAAGGTTGAAGAACACTGGCCTAAACTGTGGCCCTTTCCCCTTCTACCTGGTGCACAAGTGTCACATTTCCAAAACATCTTGGGTATTGCATCCCAATGACTGGAGGGAGATTTCCAGCTATCAAGGAACATTACTGTTATTTTCCTAAAGCCTATGGCCACACAAAGATTGCTTCAAGGCAGCCACCAAGACAGCCCCAACACCTGTAACTTTGCAGTACAAGCGGGTTCCTGCTTTGCCTTGGCAGGACTCAACTGCATTGAGCCTGGCTCGACCAAGGATGAGAAAATCTTGCTGGCAGGTAACATGAGGCCACTGGCAGCATCTCAGAGGCTGCAGCGATATTACCAGTCTCTCTCTCTCTCTCCTCTCTAGTCTTGGAAGGAATCAGAGAGGAGAAACCAACCTCCCAAAAAGACATATGGACCAACAGTTGGGTATTCTTTCCTGGCCGGGTGGGTGAGCTTCTGATCACTGATGGTCAGGACAGGAAGAAGCCAAGCCTCCACTGCTCGTTACGTTCCTCCTGCAGTGACAAAGAGAAGGGGCTGATGCTAATTCAAAATGTTCTGTTGTTGAGACCATCTGCTCTTGTCCTCCCTAGTTGTCACTGTTGGAAAGGGCAACGCTGTACTGATAGCAGGATCTGGGGCATTCAAAAGGAGGTGGGGCTTACTTGAATTCAAATAGCAGAGCCAGCGAATAGGACCCTAGAATCAGCCGTCCTCCCGCCCCCTGCCCCAATTTCCCACCTAGTTTCTGGCTAGGAGTGGCATCCAGCAGGTTAGACTGAGTTTTTCCCCCATGCATTCTATGAAAAGTACCGTATTTTTTGCTCTATAAGATTCACCTTTTCCCTCCTAAAAAGTAAGGGGAAATGTGTGTGCGTCTTATGGAGCGAATGCAGGCTGCGCAGCTATCCTAAAAGCCAGAACAGCAAGAGGGATCACTGCTTTCACTGCGCAGTGATCCCTCTTGCTGTTCTGGCTTCTGGGATTCAGAATATTTTTTTCTTGTTTTCCTCCTCCAAAACCTAGGTGCGCCTTGTGGTCTGGTGCGTCTTATAGAGCGAAAAATACGGTACTTTTTATTTTTCTTTGTGTTATTTGCTGCACATCTGAAAACATTTGTGCAGGAGAAGAGGAGGAGGGGGTCGTTTTCAAATCAAATGTTAACTTTGGCCCATGCTTTTTTTAAAAAAACCCAACACATCTGTACAAGACCAGATGTGGAAAGACCAACGTTGCAGCTTTGGCATCGCAGGAGAAAAGGCCTCGGGACTCGATATGTTTGGGGGGTTTGTGAGCTAGCGCAGCCGCATAGCTGGCCCATCTCCCAGCCAGGAAGCAGGCTGATTCTCTGCTGGGGGCTCCAGCCCTCTTGAGGAACAGCCGCCCCCCCCGGCTGTCCACTCCACACCCCAGCCCATCCTGCTCCAGTTGCTGGCTGGGCTTCAGACACCTGCTTGGCCAGCTGGCCGGCTAATAAGCCTGCGAGGAAAGTCTTCTGTTTGACATGCCCACTGCCAGCATTCCTGGAGGAGCTAAGACCAGCGAGCCTAGGACCTAGCGGCGGCAAAGCCTAGGCCTTGGGGCTGGAACACAGCAGCCGGCAGGTCTTCTGTGTCCTGGCTCAGTTGGTTAGAGCATGGTGCCCATCATGCCAAGGTTGCAGGTTCGATCCCCTGCCTATTCCTGCATTGCAGGGGTTTGGATGAGATTGGTCCTCAGGGTCTCTTCCAACTCTACAATTCTCCCACCTTTCGAAAGGGCCCAATGGCGGGAAGGAGAGATTGCAAAGCTTCCAACGTCCCAAAGCAGCCCAGCTTTGGGGGGGGGGGTGCAAAGAGAGAGGCTGCTGGAAGCCCCCATGATTCCTCCTCTCCCTCCCTGCCCTGCAACAGTTGGCCCTATAGAAGCCCCCACAAGGCCGCTCTCCCCGCGCACTGATAAGTCTAAATTGCTCCTTTCTCTGCAGGACAATCAAACCATTCTCTGCAACTGGAAGGAACCAACCCTCTTGCCCCCAAAAAGAGAGGGGGTGGGGGGAATAGACCATTCTTTTCCAGCCGCGGCTTTCCGCGGATTCAAGAGCCCAGTTTCTCTTTTCTCGCTCTTTCCGCTACCCCTCTTTTTTTTTTTTTTTGCCAGAAAAATGGAGAAGGAGGCGGCGGTTAGTTTCTCCTTTCTTTCTGGAGACCCCATTCTGTTCTCCCTCGGGTCGCCCAGCTTCTCCGCTGGCCCCGCCCAGCGCTTGATGAGGTCACTCTTCAGCTGTCGTGGGGGGGGGGAGATTATTTTGCCCCGAGTTTTTTGAACTGGAGGAAAGGGGGGCTACATCGGGGGTGGGGTCTGTGCGGGGGAGGAGATTTGATCTTTTATTTAGGCACCTCTTTTGCATGCTCTTTCAGTTCCCAACAGTTACTCTCCGGAGTGGGTGGAGCTGATAGATGGGATGGTTCTCTTGCAAACCAGTCCCGTCTATATGCGGTGGTGGGAACCCTGCTCTGGACTGGTAAGTTATATCGACCAAGCGGCTTATGTACTTTTCTTTTCCGGTGATGTGGAATAGAAATCCGGACTCCCTTTATGCTCAGCGTTAAAGCTCCGAGAGCGGTTGTCTCGCGCGTCCGCCCAGCCCCTCCAAAGTCAATATAGTTTTTTGTTTGTGTCTGTGCGTGCGCGCTTCAAAAATAATGTTTTTTGGGGGAAATGTTCTGCATCGTTTCAGAAGGTCTTTGCCAACTTGGAAAGTTGGCTGGAATTCGACTGGTCTCTGAACGAGATTTAAGATGGGTAAAGGGGGGGAGGCAGACCAGCAACAGTTCTCTCCTCCCAGTGTCCGGATTATTCTGAGTCCTTCTGAGCTTCCGTAGAATTCATTCCTCAATTTAATATCTGGGAAGCTTTTACCAACGAGTTCAGAAAAGAACAGAACGAGGGCCAAGGAGTGTGAGCCTCCTCCGACCACTGTCCGTGATTTGATTGCTTTATTTTTTATTTTTTTATGACTCTCTCCAACACTTCTTCAGCAATCCGCAGAACTTTGTTGCGAGCCCTAAATTTTAGGGATTGCTTGCTAAGCCTTCCACCCACCTCCCAGATTCCCAGCTGTGTCCTTTCTTCCCTCCCTCTGAGCTCAAGCAAGCTAATGGTATTCTAAACTGATTCTTGTTCTCTGATCCCAAAGGGAATATTTCCGTTAAACTCAGCACCGTTTTCCTGTCTGGGAGTCAAGCCATGGCTGGGGCGGTTTGGGGGGGGGGACGGACACACAGGGAGGAGCCAGCAGCACCTCTGTAGCCAATATTGTATATACACATGCAAATAGCCAGGATTTCGGGACCCACTGGTTCAGCTGCCGTCCTCAACGTGGCAAACGTGCATGAGTGAAATATTGCATGTGAAAATGCTGTGTGTGTGTGATGGGAGCAAATATATTCAGGGAGTTTGACTAAGTTTTGATCTGAACCAGGGCTCAGGACTCAGCCCTGAAACTGGGGCAAGGTCATCATATTATATATACAGTAAAGAAAAAATGCTTCTGCATATATTTGCAGAGTGTTTCCCCCTTTAAGTACCCTCCGCTCACCCAAATTAATGCTGCCTTCCCTCGCGTCCCCTTAAAGGAGAAATGGGCTATAGCTTCCAGCAGATGAGCTCTGACACCCTTTCTGACACTCACCCTGAAAGTTCAAAAACAAGGCTGCAGCCTATATGTACTTTCCTGGAAATAACTCTTCTCTATAGATGTCTCTAGCATTGTGCTGCTTCATGCTAATTTTCTTGCAGGAGAAGAGTTCTCACTTAATAACTGGCACAAGAGTTTCATGCAATTTCCTATGTGAAGTCATTTTGTTCCATGGATAACCAAACACCATGCGTACCACCCCTCTGTCAATCGTTGTTTCCACGTCCGCACAAATTGATAGGCGTCTGTTTATGATAATCACACCTGGCTCTCCCCATGTGGGTTTGGTGTTGTTTTTCTGCAACGAAATGTGTATGACTCAAAGGTACTGTCCTTTGAATTGCTTTCAGTTTTGAATTAAGTTCTCTGCTTTAGCCACCCTGTCACATTTAGGGTGATTTTAAAAAGTGGAATGTTAAAATCACTTCAATGCACATTAGTGACTGAGAATACTGAAAGGAGTGGCGAGAATGATAGAATAATGGAATCAAGTGTAATCTTTTGTTGATGGTATAACAGAATTGCAACCTACAATTACTCATGGCTAGCTGAGGCTGCTTCATCACCTTGCGCAGGTGAGAGGCATTCTTTGTGAATACATCTCCTGCTTCTTATGTAACTGTGATCCCTTCCTCTCACGACTACCTTGTAATATTTCATTGCCCTGTTGTAAGAACTGGACTAGACTAAAGGCCCTTCAAGTGGAGTCTTACGTTCTTACAGGTTTTAGGTTTGTTGAATTTGTGTGGTACGCTTCAGGTTACAGACTCCGCTAACCCAGAAATAGTACCTCAGGTTAAGAACTTTGCTTCAGGATAAGAACAGAAATCACGCAGCGGCGGCACAGCGGCGGCAGGAGGCCCCATTAGCTAAAGTGGTGCTTCAGGTTAAGAACAGCTTCAGGTTAAGAACAGACCTCTGGAACGAATTAAGTACTTAACCTGAGGTACCACTGTATTGCTTTCCACAAAGTCCCCAAGTGATTTATGAGAATAAAATGCACTAATAAAAACAGGTAAACGTATTGAAACATAACATAAAAACATCCAATCATTAGTGCTGCTGAGAAAACAGCAATGTATTCGCTTGGAGCTAAAACAAAGACAAAGTTGGTGCGCGGTGGACCTCCTTGGAGAGAGCATTCTATAGATGGGGAGGCTACTGCAGAAAGACCATTCTCTCGTTCCCATCATCTGGACCTTCCTTGGAGGTGGCATACAGAGAAGGGCCTCAGATGACCATTCTGGGATCTGGACAAGTTCTTATGAGGAAAGCTGAACCTTTATGTACAGGAGTCCTGAACCATATAAAGAAGTGGTCAACCAGATGTCTATTTGAAGCCCACAATCAGCGCAACAGCAATCTTCCCATTTGTGATTTTCAGCAACAAGCAAAGAGAATGACAGTCCCGCTGAGTTGCCTATAGGAAGCCCAGCGGGCAACCGCACTTTCTGGTTGCTATTCTCCTGGTACTCGGAAGCACCCTGCAGATGTTGCAGACAGCTATTATGAGCAGTAGCCACTTACCCTCCATGAATTTGTCTTAATTCTCATTTAGAGCTGCCCAAGCATCTTTCTTCAAGGTCCTGGGTACATATGACAGAATTAGGGACAACATCTGAGGAGCATCACTGTGCAGCTCAGTGTCTGGCTGTCCTGTTCTCCCCACCCAAAGGTCTGCACCCAGGATAAATGTTCCGTTTGTCTCCTGCATTGACTTTGGGTGAAAGTGTCCCCCCCCCAAGCTCCCATCATTCCTGCTGGCCATCTGTCTCCTTGCCAGCTTTGCTGGTTATTTTAGAGGCCACTCCATCAAAGTATTACACAAAGGGAACAGTGGCTGGATGTAGGCAAAGTTGCCAGCTTTTAACTGTAGAACACAACACTCCACAGAAATCGGGAAATTTGTTGTCATGTTCTCAGGGAGACTGGGATGCTCTGACTGATGGGGCATTTCTTGGAGAAAGGGGGCACTTGGCAACCCTACTGACAGGGAAGTCTTGGGGCCTGTCTAGATTTCCTTGCCATTCACCCAGGGCCTGTATGAAAAATGATGGATACCTTCTCCCTTGAAGCTGGGAAAAGAGCCCAGAAGTTCTGGCACCTAGTTCTGTCTCTTGCTCCAATTCACTAGGCTTCCCCTTCCCCTTCAGAGCTGGGAATAGGACCTAGAAGCCATGGCTGGTGACCAAGTTTAATAGTTGTTGAATTTAGATGTAATTGTTGACTTCCACCTCTTTGTGTCGCTTGACAGCCCCCAAACTACCCCCTTTCATCTCTCCCTGGTGCAAGGGGAAGGGGTTGAAAGTTGTATGCGCAAGCTTTGGCTTGGCTTGTATGTGACGGATGCCAGATTGGGGGAGAGAGGGGAGGAATAATCCCTTGCCAATTCCGTCTGGGTGTTTTGGGGGGTGGGAATGGAGATTAGTTATGCTTTCCACCACTTGGGTCATGTGAACAGATTCACCCTTGGGGAGCGGGAAAGGGGGGTAGGAAATGAGGTGGGCAGGGCCTAGTGGACATAATAAGAAGAGCCTACTGGATCAGGCCAATGGCCTATCTAGTCCAGCATCAGGTTCTCACCATGGCCAGCCAGATACCTGTGGGAAACTCACGAGCAGGATTTGAGCACAGGAGCCCTCGGCCCACGTGTGATTTCCATCAACTGGTATTCAGAGACATACAGTGGTACCTTGGGTTAAGTACTTAATTCATTCCGGAGGTCCGTTCTTAACCTGAAGCACCACTTTAGCTAATGGGGCCTCCCGCTGCTGCTGCGCTGCCGGAGCACGATTTCTGTTCTCATCCTGAAGCAAAGTTCTTAACCTGAAGCACTATTTCTGGGTTAGTGGAGTCTGTAACTTGAACCGTATGCAACCTGAAGCGTATGTAACCCGAGGTACCACTGTACAGTGGTACCTCAGGTTAAGTACTTAATTTGTTCCAGAGGTCCGTTCTTAACCTGAAGCACCACTTTAGCTAAGGGGGCCTTCTGCTGCTGCCACTGTGCCGCTGCTGCACGATTTCTGTTCTCATCCTGAAGCAAAGTTCTTAACCCGAGGTACTATTTCTGGGTTAGCGGAGTCTGTAACCTGAAGCATATGTAACCCGAGGTACCACTGTACTGCCTTTGACAGTGTAGGGAAACCCTCCTCAGAGCCTTTGTGGTGTAGTGGTTAAGAGCGGTAGACTCGTAATCTGGTGAACCGGGTTCGCTTCCCCGCTCCTCCACATGCAGCTGCTGGGTGACCTTGGGCCAGTCACACTTCTTTGAAGTCTCTCAGCCCCACTTACCTCACAGAGTGTGTGTTGTGGGGGAGGAAGGGAAAGGAGATTGTTAGCCGCTTTGAGACTTCTTAGGGTAGTGATAAAGCGGGATATCAAATCCAAACTCCTCTTCTTCTTTTTCTTCAGCTCTTGCCAACTTTTCACTCTTAATCACTTTAAAGGCTTCTCTGACATCTTGTTTATTTCAAGCACCAACAGAACAAGAGTTTGGACTTGATATCCCGTCTTTCACTCCCTTTAAGGAGTCTCAAAGCAGCTAACTATCAGCCTGGTTCCATCCCAATACAAGTAGAGCCTATTCCTTTTGGCTTCCAGGACCTCACAACTACATTTCCCCATGTCACTGGTGCCAATTTGACAAATGACCGCGGACTACCGCACTATGTGGGTGATGGGCAACATCCGCAACCTTCACATCAGGCAATAGGGGGGGCCATAAAATAATAATAATAATAATAATAATAATAATAATAATAATAATAATAATACATTTTATTTATTCCCTGGCCAGAGCTGGGCTCAGGGCGGCTATCACCAGTAAAATTACAGTAAAAACATAATGGGGGGGGACCAATTTAAAATACAAGTTAAAATGCAATTTAAAATGCAGCCTCATTTTAAAAGTAGCCCATAGATCAAAACCATAAGGGGAGGGAAACATAAGGGTCAGACTGAGTCCAAACCAAAGGCCAGGCGGAACAGCTCCGTCTTGCAGGCCCTGCAGAAAGATGTCAAGTCCCGCAGGGCCCTAGTCTCTTGTGACAGAGCGTTCCACCAAGTCGGGGCCAGTACGGAAAAGGCCCTGGCCCTAGTTGAGACCAATCTAACCACCTTGCGACTTGGGACCTCCAAAATGTTGTCACCTTAAGGTCCTCCGTGGGGCATACCAGGAGAGGCAGTCCCTTAGGTACGTGGGTCCTATATCGTCCAGTACTGGTTTGATGTCCGTATCACGATATTGGTTTCATAATTTTTGACCTGGTAATATATCATGAATCATGATGTATGTGTGCCTCTTCATAGCTTCATCCTTGTTTCATACACTGCAGTATATCAGTATATTGCAATGTTTAGCTGGTGATAAATCACGAAGCTGAAAACCAGATATCGCCCAGCCCTACCAGGCAGGCAATTTACTCTACAGTCTGTATGCCCATCACACACCTATTTATGTTCGTAATGACTACCAGGATCCCTCCACCCACTGGAGAAGTACGCGCAACACAAGAAAGCTCCTTTTTCTCTCTCTTTACCATAAGTAATCATATACACTTAAATCTATGTCTCTGTCCCCTTACCTGTCTTCCTCCTAAACTGAGAAGCTTAAGTGTTGCTTCCCCCATTGATTGCTTTGATTTCCTTTTTCTGCACCTTTTCTAGCTCTAGGGACGAGACACTGGGGAACTATTGATCAGTTTCACTCCTGGTTCAGAGCCAGTAACTTAGATTTATTCAATAAGCAAATATGTGGCGCTGTGGGTTACACCACAGAGCCTAGGACTTGCCGATCAGAAGGTTGGGGGTTCGAATCCCCGCGACGGGGTGAGCTCCCGTTGTTCGGTCCCTGCTCCTGCCAACCTAGCAGTTCAAAAGCACATCAAAGTGCAAGTAGATAAATAGGTACCACTCCGACGAGAAGGTAAACGGCGTTTCCATGCGCTGCTCTGGTTTGCCAGAAGTGGCTTAGTCATGCTGGCCACATGACCCAGAAGCTGTATGCCAGCTCCCTCAGCCAATAGAGCGAGATGAGCGCCGCAACCCCAGAGTCGGCCACGACTGGACCTAATGGTCAGGGGTCCCTTTACCATTTATGGTTATATCCTTATGTGTAGTAGGATTACCCTGTTCTTGAGGTTTGGACTGAGGAGTGCTGGGAGGGACAACAGAAATCTCTCTTCCTCCACCTCCCAAAATAAATTTCTTTAGTGACAGAGGTGCAGTCACAAATGTCATATTATAATCCTAATTTGTATCCCTGAGGAATATTTCTACCTATACGTACTGGGCAGTTGGCATCTTTTTTATTCTGTTTCCTTACACATTTTAGCATCATTTTGATGTCCTAATGTGTGTTCCCTTGTTATTCTGTGCTCTTCTTTCCTGAATCGCATAACTGCCCCTAAGCAAAAATACTTGGTGAGGTTTGTGGCTCCGTTTCAGCTGTGCCACCACAGCTCTTTCCCCCCACGCTCTCATCGGACATTCCTTGCACTGCTATCCCCCTCCAGACCCATCTCTCAATCTTCCCCCAGGCTTCCTAAAGGATTTAGATCTCTGATGGCCCCTGCTGTGCTCCTGGAGGAAGAGGAGTTGGTTGGTTATGGGTTTTTCTAAAATTCTCAAGTCAGGGGCATTTGGCATTCTTCAAGCTGAGAGTAAACCTCTCTCCCTCTCTGCAGGCTGTCCCTCCCGCTTGGATGGCTCTTGAAAGCTGAGCTGCATCCCGGCTGACCAGCATGGACCCGACTCCGCTACTTCCAGTTACTCCTGACCCCAGGGGCTTTAATGAGGGGGCAACAGAGCCCAGCGATCCTGCCTCCGATCCCTGCGCCCTCCTTTCCGAAAGGCACTATGAGGTGATTCCCTGTGTGATCTGTGGCCTCTGCTGCGTTTTTGGAGTTGTTTACTGCTGCTTCGGTGAGTAGAAAGGGGAAAGAGGCAGTTCTGTCTCTGAGCCCATCTCAAACTTCACTTCTCTTTCCTTTTTCCTCTGTTCCCAATGGGTTGTTTACATGCACCAGGGATAGTGGTTGGCGCCAGGGCTGGATTTAGGTTTGATGAGGCCCTAAGCCAGGGGTCAGCAGCCTATTTCAGCCATGGGCCTGTCCACCATCCCTCAGACCATGTGGTGAGCTGGACTATTTTTTTGGGGGGGGAATGAATGAATTTCTGTGGCCCACAAATAACCCAGAGATGCATTTTAAATAAAAGAACACATTCTACTCATGTAAAAACACCAGGCAGGCCCCACAAATAACCCAGAGATGCATTTTAAATAAAAGCACACATTCTACTTATGTAAAAACACACTGATTCCCAGACCGTCCGTGGGCTGGATTGAGAAGGCGATTGGGCTGCATCCAGCCCATGGGCCTTAGGTTGCCTACCCCTGCCCTAAGCTACTGAAGGTAATGGGGCCCTTTCTATGTCCAGCTGTCCTTTGTCAACAACAAATTGTCGCTGTTTTTTGTGCTGAATATATGCTATATATGCCCATTACTTAATCATAGGAGCCTACACAACAACACTGTTGCTGTATGTATGTTTTGTTTTATTCTGCCAAGAGAGCAGGAAAACTCTAGGATGTTTCATTGAACATAATCGTGGTTCTAGGAAATATACCTGAAACACTGAAAAATTGTCGCATTTCCCCATTAAGTGAACTGAGTAATTAAGAATATAAGTCACAACTGGAGACAAAATATTTGGGGTCTTCCGATCTGGGGTAGGTTAAACAACCTGAACTTTGCAAGGGAGATAGAAAGCAGAGTCTATTGTGGAAGGTTGGTGGCTTATAAATGATGACTTACAGTGGTGCCTCGCAAGACGAAATTAATTCGTTCCGCAAGTCTCTTCGTCTTGCGAGTTTTTCGTCTTGCGATGCACGGTTTCCCATAGGAATGCATTGAAAATCAATTAATGCGTTCCTAGGGAAACCGCCTTCAGACCAGGTCCGGGGACAGTCTGTCCCCCGACCTCTTCTGAAGGCTGGGGGGGGCGAAAGTCTTTGCTCCCCCCGCCTGCATTCAAAAGCCCTCCGGGACAGCGGAGAAACGTGCTGCGTTTCTCCGCTCTCCCGGGAAGGCAGGCAGGGGGGAGCAAAGACTTTTGCCCCCCGCTGGCCTTCAGAAGAGGTCCAGGACCTCTTCTGAAGGCTGGCGGGGGGCAAAAGTCTTTGCTCCCCCCCTGCCTTCAAAAGATGTCCGCCCAGGGTTCGCAGACCTCTCCGCAAGCAGCGGCAGCGCTGCCGCAGCTTGCGGAGAGTTGCCGGCATGCCGAAGCCTGGGCGCGCTGAGATCAGCGCGCCCAGGCTTCGCGGCCCCGCCCCCGGCATCGGGGCATGGTCCCGATGGCGCGCGGCGGGGGAGGCGTTCCCGCCCGTCCACCGGCATCAGGGCATGGTCCCGATGGCGGGCGGCATGGGGAGGCGTTCCCGTCCGCCGCCCGGCATCGGGGCATGGTCCGGGGCTTTTAAATTGCCCCGGAACAGCGGAGAAATCCCCCGCTGTCCCGGGGCTTTTTAAAATGCTGGCGGGCGACAGCGGAGGCTTCGCTCCCGCACTCCAGCATTTTAAGATCGCCCCGGACAGCGGAGAAGTCCCCCGCTGTCCCGGGGCTTTTTAAAATGCTGGCGGGCGACAGCGGAGGCTTCGCTCCCGCACACCAGCATTTTAAGATCGCCCCGGACAGCGGAGAAGTCCCCCGCTGTCCCAGGGCTTTTTAAAATGCTGGCGGGCGACAGCGGAGGCTTCGCTCCCGCCCGCCAGCATTTTAAGATCGCCCCGACAGCGGAGAAGTTCCCCGCTGTCCCGGGGCTTTTTAAAATGCTGGCGGGCGACAGCGGAGGCTTCGCTCCCGCCCGCCAGCATTTTAAGATCGCCCCGACAGCGGAGAAGTCCCCCGCTGTCCCGGGGCTTTTTAAAATGCTGGCGGGCGACAGCGGAGGCGCTTCCCCGCTGTCCCGGAGATTTCCCTATGGGCTTTCGTCTTGCGAAGGAAGCCCATAGGGAACTTCGTCTTGCGAAGCGCCTCCAAAACGGAAAACCCTTTCGTCTAGCGGGTTTTCCGTCTTGCGAGGCGTTCGTCTTGCGGGGTACCACTGTATTTGGAACCTAACTCTGTAGGCTGAACAAAACCATGTATTAAGAGTCTTAAATGATCCTGTCACATGTACTGACTGACTTCGGCATTTTAGCCTTCAAAGAGTGAGGAACGACGGGGAGGGAGAGAAGAGGGTTATAATTTTTCATTGCCATTTTCATTTTTTAATGCTGGGGGAATCAGAGTTGTGTTTTCTTTAAAAAGTCAGAAATTCCACCTCTTCTTCCCTGCCACCCTGCAAAAATTCCAACAACCTCTCAGCCCATGTTTTGAATTACATGAAATAGCCAAGCTAATAAGAACTGTGTATCCTCCATACTTGACCTATTTCAAAAAGCAACAAGCAACAAGTTGTCCTTCAGTAATTGTGATAACAGTGAGTCTGCATCATAAAACTTTTCTTTCTTGATGTTTACAGAAGGACTATTTCCCTACATTCCCCCCCCCCAAAAAAAAAACAAGGTAGCTTTTCTTGCCATGTTTTCAGTCTTAAGAGATTCTAGCTTAACCATAATGAGAATTTAGATGTAACCTTTTTTCAGTAGCCCCTGTCTTGGAATATCCTGTTAACGAAATATACCCTCCCTGTTTTTAAAGATTTCCTCTGCTAAACTTGGTGTGTGCAGAAGCCCCCAGATTCTGTCTAGGACATCTTCCTTTAAAAAATATATTAAAAAAATTAATATTCAGGTTTATACATTTCACTGATTTTACAATCATTTTGACATTTCAAAACTCGACTTCCTTCCCCCGCTTTCTGCGGTTCCTTAAATTTATTTTTAATATCTTCTGCATATCCAAATTAACTTAATTTGCTCACTTATTCATCTTCTTTAAATATATACTCTTATGAAACTGCAGGTTATTACAATAATCCTGCCAATGCTTTTATCTGTTTACAGTTTATCTGTAAATATTCAACAAACCATTTCCATTCTTTTATAAAAAGTTTGCTATCTTGATTTTTTATTCTTCCGATAAGTTTCGCCATTTCTGCATATTCCATAAGTTTTTGTATCCATTTTTCCTTTGCTGGGACTTCTGCTTCTTTCTATTTTGGGGCGAGTAACATTCTTGCTGCTGTAGTAGTGTACATGAATAAGTTTCTATACAGTTCTGTCCCTATAATTCCCAAAAGAAAAGCTCCTGGTTGTTGTTTTTAAGCAAACGTTATTTTAAACATGCTTTTCATTTCATTATATATCATTTCCCAGCAAGCCTTAACCCAGGCATGTCCAAAGTCCATTTCGGGGCCTAATCTAGCCTGCCGGTCGATTTAATCCGGCCCCTGTGGCAGTATACGTCCTGGGGTAAAATCCTTTTAAAAAGCACAACAACTTTGGGGTAAAATAACGGATGTTCACTTCATCAAATCTGGCCCTCTTTGAAAAAAGTTTGGGCACCCCTGCCTTAACCTTACTACAAGACCAGCTAAAGACAACTGTGATTTCAAAGAAGAATGGGAACCTTTTACAGTCTATTTAAAAAGACAACAAAATGAACTGGACTCCTTGGCAGGTTTTGAATAAACATATACAAATTAATTGGGTTAATATGATGGATAGATAATATAAGGATGCATACAGTTTTATAATATGCAGAAAACAATAGGAGATGAGAAATCAGAGAGAGGAGCTGAGGAAAGTCCTGGGGGGACGTTGTTGGGGAGGTGGGGGAGGAAGGGAGGGGGGAACACAATGAAGATGATTTGTATTGTTGATTTGTTATGGCCTCGGTCCAGTATACCTGAAGGAGCGTCTCCACCTCCATCATTCTGCCCGGATACTGAGGCCCAGTGCCGAGGGCCTTCTGGCGGTTCCCTCGCTGCGAGAAGCTAAGTTGCAGGGAACCAGGCAGAGGGCCTTCTCGATAGTGGCACCCGCCCTGCGGAACGCCCTCCCACCAGATGTCAAAGAGAAAAATAACTACCAGACTTTTAGAAGACATCTGAAGGCAGCCCTGTTTAGGGAAGCTTTTAATGTTTAATAGGTTATTGTATTTTAGTGTTTTGTTGGAAGCCGCCCAGAGTGGCTGGGGGGACCCAGCCAGATGGGCAGGGTATAAATAATAAATGTTGTTGTTGTTGTTGTTGTTGTTGTTGTTGTTGTTGTTGTTGTTGTTGTTTGTTGTTGTTATATTTTGAATTTGTTAATAATTTTTTTAAGAAAAAAATCAAACAACCTTACTACAGGACCACCACATATGATAAAAAGAACCTTCTTTCTCCCCCCCTGCTAAACTTGGCCCTCTTTCTGTTGCCAGGCTACCGCTGTTTCAAAGCCATCATGTTCCTCTCTGGCCTGCTCTTTGGCTCGGCTGTCATCTTCCTGCTTTGCTACAAAGAGCGCATCTTGGACACGCAGCTGAGCTTGGAAGTCAGCGCGGGCATTGCCCTGGGCATCGGTGTCCTCTGCGGCTTAGTCACGATGCTGGTGCACTCGGTTGGCTTGTTCCTGACGGGGCTCCTCCTCGGCTTGCTCCTGGCGACGGCTGGACTGGTGGCCACGGAGCCTCTGTGCCAGCTGCCTAGCGCCTGGGTCCCCGCTGGCTCGCTGCTGGGATCAGCCCTCTTGGGTGCCGTCTTCGCCTTGCGCTGGCAGAAAGCCCTGACGGTGGTCTCCACGGCGGTGTTTGGGGGCGCCGTGCTGACCCTCTGCTTGGACTACGCTGTGGAGAACTTGGCGCTGGGCCACCACGTGTACGACCGCCTCCGCCTGGCTCCCCCTTCCCCGCTGTGCTGGTGTGGCTGGGCTGTGCTGGCCACGTGGCCTGTCCTGGCCTTGATGGGAATGCTGCTGCAGTGGAAAGTGACCGCAGAGGGCTTCTCTCACACAGATGGTGAGTGGATGGCTTTAGGACCATGCCGACGGAGGGGAGAAGGTCCAGTTGTACTGGGCAGGGGGCATTCATGGCAACCTGCCTGGGACCCCACCCCCTCAAAAATTATAGTGTACAGTGGTACCTCGGGTTACATACGCTTCAGGTTACAGACTCCGCTAACCCAGAAATAGTGCTTCAGGTTAAGAACTTTGCTTCAAGATGAGAACAGAAATCGTGCAGCGGTGTCTCAGCGGCAACAGGAGGCCCCATTAGCTAAAGTGGTGCTTCAGGTTAAGAACAGTTTCAGGTTAAAAATGGACCTGCGGAATAAATTAAGTACTTAACCCGAGGTACCACTGTATTTACTTTTATTTTTAGGTTTTTAGGCTTGATGTTATGTTATTAATGTAGGAGATAGCAAAGTGGGTGAAAAGAGAAACATACCAGAAGCGGAAGTTGGGAGAAGCTCTGGGGGGGAGGGAAGGAGGAATATATAATATATGTTAAGAAATGGAGATGTATGTAATGAATGAAAAAGAAAAATGAATAAAATGTAAAAAAAAATCTGGAGGCGGGCCTGTACCTGCCTACCTCCTGCCCAACGAAATGAGGCCCATTTTTGTAAGAGACTCTAGTAGCAGACAGTGTGCGAGATTCGCCAGGCAGATTTTGCACCCGACCAAGTGAAGATGTTTGGGTGCCAAGATGGTGCCTGACATCTCCACCTTCTGAGGATCATTGGCTCTGGACTAGTTTCACACACTTAACGCCCCATCCTGTGAAATCCTCTCAGTTATATTTTTATCTGCACCATCAGAATAAATTTCTGGAACCAAAATGCTTTTTCTGTGCAGCCACATCAGGAGCAGTTGCGACAAAGGAAAAAGAGGTTGTATACATGTAGACTGTGTCCCTGGATCAAGTGACTTTTCTCCTTTAAGTTCTCAAAGGTTATTAACCCAGCTCAAGGTTGTCATCTGAACTATCCAGATATTTAACCGAGAATCAATAATAATAACAATAAATTTAATTTATACCCCGCCCTCCCCAGCCAAGACCGGGCTCAGGGCGGCTATCAACAAATATAAAAAAATTGATTGAAATACAACTTAAAAACAAGATTAAAATACAACATTAAAATGCCGCCTCATTTCAGCAGAAACTCAAAAACTTTTGGGGGGATGAAAACGTCAAGTCTTCACCAAGGCTAACTATCCAGACTGGTCCAACATGGGCCAGAAAAAAGCCAGGGAAGTCCCCAAGTAGGAGTTCCGTCATAGTAGGAAAAAGGAAAAAAGAAAGAGGGGAAGGGGATCAAGTTGATTCCAAGCCAAAGGCCAGGCAAAACAACTTACAGGCCCTGCGGAAAGAAATCAGATCCTGCAGGGCCCTGGTCTCATGAGGCAGAGCGTTCCACCAGGCCGGAGCCAGTGTTGAAAAGGCCCTGGCTCTGGTTGAGGCTAATCTGACCTCACAGTCAGTCCATCATTTGAAAAGAAAAAAAGAATTTAGAGCCGTCTTGCCCCAAAATGGCAACTAGACATTCTGTTTTGGCGACTGTAACCGTGGTTTAAGGAGCCATTTGGCACCTAGCTCTTATATCTGAGTTTCTAACGCTGGTAGTGGAGGGAAAGTTGATGGGCGGCAGAGTGCCAACAGTCATAGAGAGACAGGGAGGTATGCTGCACAGTTAATCACTTTTTCTTCTGTCCTTCCTTGTCCCCAAAGGCCTTGTGCAAATCATTTCTCAGTCGTATGACACGGAGTGTTGAGAGTGTCAAACAAGGACTAGGGAGATCCAGTTTAAATCCCCAGTTGGCCCAGAAAGCTCACTGGGTGATCTTGGACCAGGCACTTTCTCTTGGCCTGAGGACCATAATTATGGCAGTAAGATTGGAGTTGGGGAAGAGGACGAGAGCCAAGAACAGCCCTCTGAGCTACATGGATGAAGGGTCTGGTAAAAAGTAGTAAATTAATAAATACTACTACTACTAAATAGACGCGGGTGGCGCTGTGGGTTAAACCACAGAGCCTAGGACTTGCCGATCAGAAGGTTGGCGGTTCGAATCCCTGCGACGGGGTGAGCTCCCGTTGTTCGGTCCCTGCTCCTGCCAACCTAGCAGTTCGAAAGCACGTCAAAGTGCAAGTAGATAAATAGGTACCGCTCTGGCGGGAAGGTAAACGGTGTTTCCGTGCACTGCTCTGGTTCGCCAGAAGCGGCTTAGTCATGTTGGCCACATGACCCGGAAGCTGTACGCCGGCTCCCTCGGCCAATAAAGCGAGATGAGCCCTGCAACCCCAGAGTTGGCCACGACTGGACCTAATGGTCAGGGGTCCCTTTACCTTTTACTACTACTAAATAATAGCTATACCCATCATTACTTTGCTCAGACTAGAGGAATCTGACAGACATGAAAAAAATTCAGAGTTCTCAAAATTCTGAAGAATGCAACATTATGTGGCATGATAACAACTGTGCAGAACTCTGTTCGCCTCCCAGCATGTAAAAGAGAGAGACTTGTTTGGGACTTTTTTTTCTCCTTCCTCCCCACCTCCACTTGCCTACATTTGAGTCTCTGGTCAGGAAAGGAATTCCTCCATAGCTGAAGAGTGAGAGCGTTCATTTTCTTTCTTAGCATTGCCTCTCCTTTTTAAAAAAAATTAGATTTATAGATGTATACACACACATACACGGGTGGCACTGTGGGTTAAACCACAGAGCCTAGGACTTGCCGATCAGAAGGTCAGCGGTTTGAATCCCCGCGACGGGGTGAGCTCCCGTTGCTCGGTCCCTGCTCCTGCCAACCTAGCAGTTCGAAAACACGAAGTGCAAGTAGATCAATAGGTACCACTCCGGCGGGAAGGTAAACGGCATTTCCGTGCGCTGCTCTGGTTCGCCAGAAGCGGCTTAGTCATGCTGGCCACATGACCCGGAAGCTGGCCACATGACCCACATGCTCCCTCGGCCAATAAAGCGAGATGAATTCAAAGAGGTTGTACAGTGGTACCTCGGGTTAAGAACTTAATTCTTTCTGGAGGTCTGTTCTTAATCTGAAACTGTTCTTAACCTGAAGCACCACTTTAGCTAATGGGGCCTCCCGCTGCCACTGCTGCTCGATTTCTGTTCTCATCCTGAAGCAAAGTTCTTAACCCGAGGTACTATTTCTGGGTTAGCAGAGTCTGTAACCTGAGGCGTATGTAACCTGAGGTACCGCTGTACTTTCTTTTCCCCATGACTGTATATATATATATAGAGAGAGAGAGAAATACACATACGTATAAATTTGTATTTATAAACTAGCCTTCTTAGGAGTAGTCTCCCTCTGCTTTCTCACACCACTTCTCTTGCCCAGTGGTCCTGAATCGGCGCCAGAAGCAGCTGCAGCTCTTACGGATCCGGCAGCGTGAAGCCAAGAAGAGGCAAAGCCAGCTTCCTCAGGATGGCTCGTACCGGCATAAGCCCAGCGCCGTCAAGCGCTGTGCAGGAGATGTCCTTGCACCGGTGAGTGGCTGTAAGAGTTCCTGTCACAAATGTTCATGATCTTAACTCTTGGCCCCCGTTTGCAACATGCAGTGCCAATCTCACGATCCCAGCTGCGTCGTCGCCTTCAGAATGCCCCTTTGGCCTTTCCCTGGCATCTTCTCAATCCTCTGGAGCAGGCGTGGGGGAACTTTTTCGCCATCTAGCTGTTCCTCAATTCCCCAACAAGCATGGCTAATGGCCGCCAGGGATGATGAGAACTGAAAAGGTTCCCCATTATGGTGGTTCATAAAAAACTTTTTTAAAAAAATGCCTGCTCCAAAGGTCTTATCTCACTACACTAGGGATTATATAGCTATATCTGAAATTTCATGCATATCAGTTAATATCTTGACCCTGCTCCACAAAAATAGCTGTTTACTTGGCCGTTTTCCTATGTCGTGAAGGCTGAAATTTCAATATTAACTGATATGGATGAAATTACAGATATAGCTACATAAGACCTTTGGAGCAGGCATTTTCAAAAAAAAGGTTTTTTTATGAACCACCCTATGCCCCATGCCTACTCTGCAGCCAGCCAATGGGAGTGTGGACCATCACTCCTTTGCACATATCTCCTGTGTCCCTTCCCCCTTTACATAATTGGTGGCATAGCATGGGTTGCCAGGGCCCAGGGCCGCACAAGATGGGAGAGAGGGAAACACATGAACGGTCAACTGCCTAACCGTGTCTGCATCACCCAGGAGATCGCAGCCACAGAGAAAAGAGATGTTCTGTTGTCCGGAGAGGTTGGTTCCTGGTTCACATGGAGAAGCCGGTTTCAAGGGAGCCCAGCGACAAAGCGCGCAGCTGTATTGAGGCAGCACTTGGTGTCAAAATTTTGCGCCCCTAACAATTTTGCAACCGCCCCTGTGGCCCTGCCCCACGCTAAGCCACTGTTTATAACTGAGCGTAAGGCAGGTTCTTTGTCAATGTGGATTGGCTCCTAATGGAGGTGTGTGGGGAGGGGTTAATATGTCGTTCCCCTTTCCCAGTTCACGCACTGACATTCCATTCTTTTTCTCCACCCCAAAGAGTTATATTCAGAGCCTGCGCGACCGCCAGCAACTGGGAACTGGTACTTCGCTGAGCAACCTGAGTGCCAGTGCTCACACCACTGTGGACCTGGATTACGACTCTGGCTCAACTGTTCCCCTCACCACGCCCCGTGGCTGCCTCTGAAGGAAACGGTTTCTACTTCCGCCTGTGCCTTAAACAGGGACATAGCACAACTCTGCCCTCACTGGGGGGGTCTGAATATTTTTGTCCCGTGCAGTCGCTTGACTGATATGCAAGCACCCTCGGCTAGCCTGCTATATATATATATTTTTAAATGTTCAAAAGCAGGCAGTTTCCTTTCCCATGAGGGAAACTTGAGGCCAACAATGTGACTGAGTCAAAGTAGCAGGAAAGAAGGGATGTCTTTAAATAGAAAAACAACAACCACAACAACACTATTAATTTATTCCCAATTAAGTCAAGTGAAGGAAGCAAGCCATCTTCCTCTGTAGGGTATCTACAGCTGCCTTGCAAGCTATGCTGCAATGAACTGGTTCCCTCTTAAGGTGGCTGTCCTTAACTTTGAAGCTAGTATAGTATCTGTCCTCTGCGGGCTCAGTTAAGCCATAGACATCCCCTCTTTTGGGGGATGAAGGGGTTTATTTGCCCTAGAGATCTAGAACTAGCAAGAGGGTACTTTGATTACCTTTTGGCTTAGATGAACTGCCCTATTTTACCTCGGGGATAAAATAGCTAGGGGGTAACTTGAAATCTTCGCACCACAGGTTGGTGAGGTAAATGGTTCTGATCTATGGTGCTTTTCACAACAATTTGCTTTTTTTTTGTATGTGGGTCAGATGGCAGAATCTTGTGAGTAGAGTCGCCATTCAATTATCCTTTCCCTAGGGCAGTTTGGTTTGCCGATACAATTTCCATAGGGAACATTTTGACCGTCCAAAGTTATTTGAACTACATCTCCCTTCATAGCAAACATGGTCAATGGCCTATCAAGGGATTAGGGGAGTTGTAGTTCAGAAACACCTGAAGGCCCGAAAGTTTACCACACCAGGGTTATATAAGAAGGGAAAATTGTGCTTTTTCTTTCCCCAACCCCCATCAAACTCAAAAGTTACCTTCCCAAATCCTGTTCAGTCATTCATAAACCCTTGATTATGTTATGAGGGGGATAGCAGAGTTCACAAATATGGCCCCACCTTCCCACTCGAATGGCTATAAGTGTCAAAACAAAAAAAATTCCTTCCAGTAGCACCTTAAAGACCAACTAAGTTAGTTCTTGGTATGAGCTTTCATGTGCATGCACACTTCTTCAGATACACAGTTGAGGTTGATGGACTGAGGTTGATGGACTGCATGCACACGAAAGCTCATACCAAGAACTAACTTAGTTGGTCTTTAAGGTGCTACTGGAAGGAATTTTTTTTGTTTTGACTATGGCAGACCAACACGGCTACCTATCTGTAACTGGCTATAAGTGTGTAAGGGAAGAATTCCCCCAAAGGGCTCTAATTATCATTCAAAGTGCCTTTTCTCGTCTATACAGAGCCTTACCTGCACTGAAGTGGCTTTCAGTTTAACCTGACTGGTGCTTTTTGAAAACACGTAGAGAAGGATTAAAAACCATTCTTTTTTTAAAAGAGAGAGAAAGAGAGAGAAAGATTGAACTCTAAACTGTAGGCTAACCACCCAGGTTTCAATTCCTAAACTATTAATCCGAATTCAGTGAGTACACAGTGGGTTTGAATCCTGGTCAAGAGACCTGTTTTGTTATAGCAGATTGTTTCCTGTGGATATTTGTTGTTGTTACTGTTTTTATAACTTCTGCTTATAATTCTTAACACTGATACATTTGTGCTATGCAGTCTGTCTCTATAATCACTTGGGTCACACGATAAAGAGGTTGGAGTTGGGTGAAATGGGGGTGGAGAGAAAATGGGGTGCAACAGCGGGTCGGACACATCAGATCCAGCGGATTGGATCCTTTTGAAACTCTATAATTTTCCCATGGATTTCTAATCACATCTCTCTCCATCATTGACTGAACTGTAGAAACCACCCATTTTTACAGAGCAGCCTGTAAAACCATGGATCTGAGACATAAAGCCTTTTTTAAAGGGCTCTCCCTCAAAACCATCACAAAATTATTGATTGCCCCCTGTATGCAAAAGAAAGTTGGGGGGCTGGTTCTTAAGCCGTTGACATCCACAGTCACACACTGCTTTATTTTGACTCTTTTTCTGCCTGGGTCCAAACACTGCTGCTGGGCAGTTGTGTGCATCTGCATGTAATATCATACAAATCTGCCTAGCGGAAATGAAAGGTTCTGGTGTCCTGATCACAAAAGTTAAAAAGCAGACAAGCCGTTACCCGCCTGAGACTTGGGCTGCATTAGAAATAATTTTGCTGTTGCCGAACTTTCTATTCTAATGCCCGATGATCTCATCGAAAGTTAGCTCTTTCCCCTTTCAGAAATGTTTGCCTTAGACGTATTAAACTTAGGTTTACTGCTTCGCTATCACAATTTGAATACAGACTGGAAATTATATATATAAAATCTCATCTCATCTGAATTGCTGGGGGCATGGCACGAACCTCGGTGTTTCCTGAATTCCCAGTAACTAAAGTACACTCTCACAGTGTGATAGCAAAGGGTGCCACCCCTTTTAATTACTTAGCTGTTCCGAGCGCATCTCTTGACTAGACGGACCTGTAACCTTGCCATCTCGTGCTGTGCTGAGCCAGTGATACACATTTGTGACGGAATGACTGCATCGCCGACTGGAGGTAGAATAGAAAGGTGTAAAGCCAGGGCCTTGAAGCACGCAGATACATGGTGCGCAGCCTCCTTTGTGGAGGAGTGTCTTGGGCTCATAAAAGCATTTGTTCCTTGCGGCATAGTGGTGTCCCCAGGTCGTCTGTGTGGGAAAGACTGTCCCAGCAGATTGAGGGCCTGACGTGCTTATGGCGCATGGGGCTCTCTTCAAAATACAGGAATGCCCATCAGCTGCTTCTGAGGACAGGGAGGAAAAGAAACTGGTTTTGTCACACACACACCCACACCCATCAACCTGCTTTCTGTGATTTGGAGGAGTCTGTTGCTGTGACTGCTGCAGACATACAGTGGGATTGGGGCCTTGGATTTTAAGTCCATCACGCAGCAGAAAAAAAGGATATGAACCACACACCCTTCTGCCTGGGCAAGCGTCAGCTTTTGCCTTCTCTGCAGTGCATCATTTGCAGTAGGAAAGATAATGTATTCCCATGAGCGAGAAGAATAAATGAAAGCCATCAATTTTGTGTAAAAGGTAAAGGGACCCCTGACCATTAGGTCCAGTCGTGGCCGACTCTGGGGTTGCGGCGCTCATCTCGCTCTATAGGCCGAGGGAGCCAGCATACAGCTTCCGGGTCTTGTGGCCAGCATGACTAAGCCACTTCTGGCAAACCAGAGCAGTGCACGGAATCGCCGTTTACCTTCCCGCCGGAGCGGTACCTATTTATCTACTTGCACTTTGACGTGCTTTCAAACTGCTAGGTGGGCAGGAGCAGGGACCGAGCAACGGGAGCTCACCTAGTTGTGGGGATTCGAACCGCCAACCTTCTGATCGGCAAGCCCAAGAGGCTCAGTGGTTTAACCCACAGCGCCACCCGCGTCCCTCAGTTTTGTGTAGGATCTACAAAAAGAGTTTATATACTTGAGCATGGTGCCCTGCGATTGGGTCGTCTCCTGTGATCGAGTTGTTCTGGTATTATAAGAGGAGATGGTTGAGCTAAATTACTGGAGGTTGGGAATGTTTGCTGCCTGGAAATGGCTACATGGAAATGGCTATGACTTCTTTGTTTGGAGGGTCAATTGGTTTCCTTTCGCTGTTGAAGCACGTGTCGGAGTGTGTTGGGATGTGATGTGTCAGACGCCCAACACGGAAAAGAGTTCTGCACTGCGGCCTCCTGCAAAATGGGGCCAGAGTGACATTGCAGAAAATGGAAAAACTACCTGCCCTTACTTCCGAGAAGAGTGAAAGTACCGTATTTTTTGCTCAATAAGACTCACTTTTTCCCTCCTAAAAAGTAAGGGGAAATGTGTCTTATGGAGCGAATGCAGGCTGCGCAACTATCACTAAAGCCAGAACAGCAAGAAGGGTTGCTGCTTTCACTGCGCAGCGATCCCTCTTGCTGTTCTGGCTTCTGAGATTCAGATTTTTTTTTTCTTGTTTTCCTCCTCCAAAAACTAGGTGCGTCTTGTGGCCTGGTGCGTCTTATAGAGCGAAAAATACTTTAAATCTCACCTGCACATTAGCAAGAAAGGATTCCTCCCCACCCCCACTTCCCTGGAAAATAGACAAGAGATGACATGTACAGTGGTACCTCGGGTTACATACGCTTCAGGTTACAAACTCCGCTAACCCAGAAATAGTACCTCGGGTTAAGAACTTTGCTTCAGGATGAGAACAGAAATCGTGCGGCGGCAGCAGGAGGCCCCATTAGCTAAAGTGGTCTTCAGGTTAAAAACAGTTTCAGGTTAAGAACGGACCTCCGGAATGAAATAAGTACTTAACCCAAGGTACCACTGTAGTGAGCATCTTAATAAAGATAAGCACCAACACTGATGCACATGCAGGAACTTTTACAGCAGAGATAGCAAATTTGTGTGCCGCCCCAAAGCCCAATTGCTATACCAGCAGGCCCATGGTCAGGGATTAGGGGAGGTGGGGTTCAGCAACATATGGAGGGCTACAGGTTTCTCATCACTGCATTTGGTGGTGGGTAGAATATTGCTTAAAGCACAGGTTTTCAACCTTTTTGAGTCCACCGTTCCCTTGACCAACGTTCTTTCTGCGGCACCCCTGTGGGGCTCAGGAGCCCAGTTATATGCCACCCCTTGGCTGCAGAGCCGGCAGCCCCCCACCGCTTTTTGAACACCCTCCCTTGTGGAGTGTTCCCTCAGCCTCCTCTCCCTTCTCCTTGGGGGTCCTCTGGGCAGTTGCAGCTGCTGCCCCTGGTCTCTGAGCTGCCCCAGAGAGAAGTGCCTCCTCACACTGCCCCACAGGGGCCTGGGAAGCACCCCCTGGCCAGCCCCAGGAGCATGATTCACCTGGGCCGTGCAAGCCTTTGGGAGGCAGAGATGTGAGAGGGGGAGGGAAGGAAAGAGGGACAGAGGCCAGTGTTGCCTGTGACACCCCTGACTGTCATTCAAGGCACCCCAGGGTGCCACAGCACACTGGTTGAAAACCACTGGCTTAAAGGATGCTGAATTCTTGAAGGAAAAGAGAGAGGGGGGGAGGGACACATATCCCTTTTATTGTGGGCTGAGTAAATATGGCATGAGTGCCATTCAAGCCCTGCAAATTGGAGTCGTCATTCATATTGCTAGATACACAAGATCACATGGAATACAGTCAGTAATAACCCTCTGGGTCTGCCACAGAAATTGTGTGTGTGTGTGTGTGTGTGTGTGTGTGTGTGTCTGGCGCAAGGACCAGCCCTCTGCCCTTAATGGGTATGCCAGACCCTTCCCCTAAAAATGTCATCCTAATTATATTTTTATTTTTTTAAAGAAAATGAACAGTTAGCTCTTCTACTGATTGAGATAAAAGTGAGCAGTCAGTACTCTGCCACCCAAACTTACAGGCCGGTTGGTGAGCAATGGTGCCCGTATCATACCCACCCCCTTCAAATCTTACAAAAACAGAACAGAAACAGGGAAAACCCCGTCTTCAACTTTGAACTCTTCTAGTGTCTTCTCACATCGAGACAAGACACTTAGGCACACACCCCATGCCCCCCAACCAAGGCTCCCTGTGTCCTGAAGTGAGTTGGGTCCCTTCTGCCACCCATGCTGATGCCAAGGTAAATGGGGATGTTTATGATGTCCAGCACAGCAGGAACAGAATTAAAGCTTTGCTCCAGCTCTCCCAAGCTTGGTTCTTTCCAGAAGAGTTGCTGTCCCTACACACCACCTCTAGGCGTCACTGTTGGGTCTGTTAACAATAGTTGTGTGCTGTCTAATTGGCACACCCGTGCCAGTCCTGGGAAGTGCGCCAGGGCATCGTTGCCAGCGTTAGCAGTTCATCCAGCGCTCGGCTGTGCTCAGTGGGTAGCCCCGGTCTACTCTCAGTTGGTCGTTGAGTCTCCAGTAGATGCCGCCCTTGAAAAAGTAGACTTTGCCGTTCTCCCAGGTGAACGCGGCGTCCAGGTGTGATGGCGCCCCTGAGAAAAGGCTGGAGATTTTCCTGGGGAGAGTGGAGAAGTGGCTTCCCAGTTCGTCCCATTGCCAGTAGCCCGTGCCCTAGGGAAAAAAGAGAGGAATGATTGCACTTTCCCCAGTAATAATAGTACTAATAATTTTATTATTTGTACCCCACCCATCTGACTGGGCTGCCCCAGACCCTCTGGGTGGCTTCCAGCATATACAAAAACATGACAAAACACTAAACATTTAAAATGTCCCTATACAGGGCTGCTTTCAGATGACTTCTAAAGGTTGTTCCATTTCCTCTGGTGTTCCCCACAGAGATAAGAAACTAGGAGCTCCATCTATCTATCTATCTATCTATCTATCTATCTATCTATCTATCTATCTATCTATGATGTATATCTATCTATCTATCATCAATCTATCATCTCCTAACTTTTCCCTTTTGAGGTGAAAGTCACCACTGGACATGAAAAAGTGTACGTGAAACTGTTCCGAGCAAAAGGCTTTTTATTACTGTTTAAAAACGTGCTTCTGGAAAGGCAAACAAGAAAACCATTCAGCCAGAAAGCGGGCAGTGATCACCCTAACCTCCCATTGTCTTGGGAGCCATAAATAGATGTTATTGGCCATTTTGCCACCGCTAGAACAGTGTGATCCCCTCTTCCCTC